TCACTCAGTTGTGTTTCAACTGTATGAAACATTTGGGGCCATTTATAGACAAGTAGCAGTGGTTCCCTTTCTGACCTTGATGAGTACAGACACAAAGGTACATTTGGTGGATATATTTCCCCCTCACCATTAAAAGTTGTGCTTCATAGGAACAGGAAGGGGGATCGTTTTCATTAAAGAGTAAACACAGAACCAATGGCCACAGCAAATTAATTGCTCATCTTACCCTCAACTGAGTAGGCTGGCATTGCTCTCTTGTGCCTTAAATCTTTCCCACTCTGCCTATAAACATGATTATCTCTCCTACTTAAAATAAAAAATAAGAGTCTCCTCTCACCCTGATTAATCCTGTTTAGTTACTGTCTGTGCTCCCCACTTTTACCACAGAACGTCTTAAACCGGGAGGTGTTGGTCACTGCCTCGTCATTCATGGTTGCATGGCTTTGGGGTCGGTCTGGTGACACTGCTGTGTGAGATTAAAACTGGTCGTGCTTCCACATCACCATCTGAACTAAATGCCTTGCTGAACACACTGGGAATGACGGACATTCAAAGCAGCATACACAGGGCACTTTCTAACCTATGTCTTGGTTTCTTCTCTTCCAGGTATCTCAGTAACGAAGAAGACACATACATGTAAGTAATGCATTTTTTTTCTGTCCAAAGTTTTCTGAAGAGTTGGAATTCGCATATGTCTGGCTGCTGTGACCCTTCAAGTATAAACTAATGTTTCAGCTGTGATCCATGGTCAACAGAGGTCATTTTTTTTTTCAATCTGTAGTGGTCGGAAGTGGCACATCTCCACCTGTTTGTACTGAGTGTGTGTTGAAGAGAGAGGCTAGAGACATAGTCTGATGAATTCCAGTGTTTCAAGCCATGAAGCTTTAGAAAAATCATAAAATCTAGCCAGGAGGATCAATTACTTACTGATCACCCTTATTGTAGATCCTTCTTCGAAGAGCTGGTATGTTTCTAGGAAACATCACCTTGATTTCTTTTAAACTTTGATCTCCTTTTCCTCACCGCTAGTTCACAAATTAGGCCGTTTGGTACTCATGTCTGTGGAGCAGAGATGCTGACTGGGAATAGAGGCGCTGTCGCTGGACCACGGGCATGGCCTGCGAGGGCCTTGATAAATGGCATCGGTAGTTTGATGTGGAAACGTGTGCTGGATTTATGCTCTGTATTCATCCCACTTCTCAGGTTCAACTGCTTTCATCAGTTGCCTTCATTTGAAGTACACCATAAGTTACAAACTCACGTCAATGTAAGGTGTTGTGATTTGCAATCTGAGCAATGATGTTTGACTGTCCCTTGAACCTCAGGATGAAACAAGACATCATTGATGCAGGCAGTCAACTTTCACTGTACTTGACCAGCATATTATTTAGGCTTTGAATTAATGGTGTCATTAGAATTTGATGACTATTTTAGACCACAGAGACGTGCTACCTATGAGATATCTTTGGGCATCCTTCTAAGGCAAGCAGTGGAGATATTTATGGCACAATCCAGGGACAACAAGGATGTATCCCCTAATTTTTCCTAATTACACTTTAAATTTGTTTACCTCATGTGAAACGTTTGGGGGAAAACATCTGTGTAACATCAAAGTAGTTTATCTTGTGCCTCAGTTGATTCTTGAAATCTGCTCTTGGGTTTGTCTGTCTGTCTATCTGTATTTGTAGAAAACAAAAATGAAAAAAAAAAAAAAAAAAAAAAAGCAAAACCAAAAAACATCAAATTGGATGAGAAGCTGCCTGACTCTGAGGACCCTGTCCTGCAGTCTCTCCACGTGGCTCTCTCATGGGCTTCAATGGAATGTTTGCTTGAGGAGCAATGAAAAGGTCAGGCCTGTACTAGATACGTGATCAGGATGGCACCTCCATCTCTCAATGCACAGTTCCAGTTGGCTGTCCCTCCATCAGGGTAGTCTGTGACCCTTAGCTTTTTTTGGGGTTGTTTTGTCGTTGTTGTTGTTCTTGTTCTTGCTGTTGTCGGTGCATAATTGAGCTCATGATGACTGAGAGATTGACAGTGCAGGAGACTGAAGTCCTCTGTATATCCGCAGGGCAGGCATGGTACAGAGCGCTTCCTTGCACAGCCTTGCCCATGAGCTCGTCCCTGGCCCGGAGGGACCCACTCTAGAGGTGGTAAGTAATTCAGTCTTTCTGCTAGCTCAGTCCTGGGCCTCTCCCCAACAGGGGCTGATGATTGTGCCTACTGTTTATGGTGGTTTGGGGTATGGACTCCTGGCCACCTGGCAATGTACAGAAAGCTACTGACTATTTGCATTATGACTTGGCTCTGAGATAAGTGGACAAAACCGCTAGCTCAGCTCCACTGGACATGAAGAGTACATCTCAACTAATAAGATAACATGACAGAGACTGAGATGTTAGCGAGTATACAGACAGTCCATAGAGAGAGAGACATTCGAGGAACCGTCATCCCTAAAAATAATTTTCTTGGCCTATTGCAGAAATAATAACCTGTGGTTGAGTTTAAATTCATGGAAGGACTTAGGTGACAGCATGAGAGTGGTGGCTAGAGAGGAAAAATTGGTGTTCTAATAACAGACACTTGAACCAGGTGGGTCTCCCCACAAATCCTTAAAGAATTTCATCAGCTATTCTGGCATTAATGCAAAATCAAGATATAGCCACAGAGGGTGGACTTTGAGTGCCTTTCTAACTGTGAAAATCAGCAGGCATTAAGCTTAAAGTAAATGTAGAAAGACTTAAAGCTCCTTTTATATAATTGACAGAAAGTTTTGCATCAGAAATCATATCGTTTTGGTTGATGTTTACTTTCATGATTTGGGGGAGAGGGCTCTGAATAAAAATGGCCCAATGACAGACTGGAAAGAATAGCACCTGAACACACAGTTGACACACAGCTTTACACATGCCAAGGAGAAATTGAATTGTCCAAGTTACATGTTAGTGGAAGTCCTCCATGCCACTTGGACATGGAGATCGTTTGTGTCACCTAGCTCAGCAGACAGCCCATCATGCTTCTGATCTTAGCATCTCCACGGGGCCCACAGCTTGTGAGGAGAAAGACAATCAATCGGTTTTTTCTCTAATAACAGTCACGCAAATGACTTCTTCTTTAGCATTTGTCCAATTTTTCTTGAAATCTGAACTGTCCTAACTTGCCTATACGTTTTTTTTAAGATGTTAAATTCCGGCTTCTCTTAAATCATCTTGACATCTGTTCTTCAAGAAGTTTCACTCTCAGTGAAGTGTATGAATTCATTTTTGTACTGTCTCAAAACTTCCATTTTTAGCCAGGGTTCTGGAAACCTTAGTCAAGACTTGACTACATAATCAACGACAGCTGAAGTCACCCGACATTAGCAATTTCAATCTTGGTTTCTTAACTGCCCTCATGGAGAGATTGTTCAACATACAAATTAATATGTACAACTGCAGAATATATTATCAGACCAGCGTGTCAGCTCACAGGTACGTCAGACAGGGGTGCACGTACTGCAAAATGAATCTGAATAGTTCTGACACCAGATAATATTTTAGTCCACCTTGTTATCTGGAAAGCTCAGGTACTGTTTCTTTAAAAAAAAAAAAAAATGTTTTGGGTGACTTGAACCAGAAATTCCCCTGAAAGGAAATTTGATTGTTAGCTTCAGAGGAGTCCATGAACATAGTCTTTGGAGAGCTGGAGAACTCAGTTTCCCCTGAGTTCCTGAGAAGGGTACCTTAAGTGTTTGTTTTTTCTTTAGTTAGCCGGTGGGAGAAGACAAAGCTTTGGGACATCTAGTGGTTCCCATACCCACATTGTTCAAGGAATTCTTATGTTTGTGGTCTTCTTCAATTGTTGATAGGAAATGTGGCTGGCTGTTGGTTGTTGGTGTGCAAACATAAAAGAGAGTTTTTACTCTTCGGTCAATTTTACACTGTGGTGTGGAATTTCAATTTAATTTTCATGGTGATTACGTAGCTCATGTATTTGGTTGGACCCCTTCAAGATTGCTTTGCTTTGGTGTTTCACAAGTTTGTTCTGGTCTCTTTCCTGCTGAAATAGTCACCATGCAGAGAAGTATCATTTTCTTGGAATCAGCTGCTGTCTTGGTTTTTATGATTTGCCAAGGGCAACTAGTCATTCACTCCTGAATTCTTAATCTAATTCTTCTTGGACAGTTCTGCATTCACTACAGTGTTACAAGAGGATAACTATGGAGGTGAAAAGATGCAACAAATCATTCGAGCTCTTTCCAGCTACTGGGAAGTTTGACATCATGTAGTCCGAACCTTAGAGGACATATATCAGACAGCCACCACAACACAGACCGAAAAGATATATGGTAGGGCCCCGAACCATTTCCGGAGGCATCAGACCATTTCTGCTTCCTTCTGTTCTCATCCTTGTTCACAGTGCTTGTTCCTTCTGTCCTAGCCTACCCTGCCTGCTTTCCACCACACTGAGGGACAGATACACGCTTCTGGAAAGCGCAGGTTACTCAGTGGAAGCAGTCAGGAAAACATGTCAGTTTACTCCCAACTTGAGTTGTTAATTTTCCCCAATAAAAATCCAAACAAGACATGCTTCTGAACCTTCTGAAATATTTTTATTTAACATGAATAGCCGTTAAAAGGTAATCTAGTACATTTTCAAATGTTTGATTGCAGCAGGCTAATGCCTACAGTATAAAATTAAAGCGCTGTATTATTTATAAAAAGACTTAGTTCTACAAAGTAAAATATTTTAGCACAAATCAGAGTATTTGTTTGAGAATTAATCTTTTACATCCATTTTAAAAAAGTGTTTATTGCAATCATTTAAAATGGAATAGGTTAATGTATTCACTTTTTACCCAAGAGACTTGGCTTTGAATTTGACTTAGAGAAAATTAGTTTTGAGGCCTCAACCTCCTCTCCTTAGACATCTGTTGATATCACAAAATGAACCCAACGATTTGTCACAATTGTTGCCATTTACTCAGGAGATCTAAAAACTAGAATAACCTTATTTTCTGATTTTTTTTTTCCTTTCCGTAAGACCACACTTTTTTATTGTAGACTCTTAGCAACCCCAAACTTGGGGCTCACCCGCATTGTTTTCACAGTCCAGGAAAACTCAGGAACCATTCTTGGCAAAGCTAATGGAAGGTGCTTTGGTGATATAGTTAGCAGGTTGCCGTGGCAACCTATGTGACTCACAGTGTGACTCACGGCAGTTATAATTTCATTTGCTGGCAGGGTGCTTCATTAGGACAGATGTGAGAAGAGCCACGCTGAAGTTCTTTGAGTAGGCCTTCATCCAGATCCTGTCTGCCCATTGACAAATAGAAAAAGGGATAACCCAGTACTCACAAAGCAAGTGGAAGACTCACTGCTTAGCTTACCAAGGCCACCAGCTATCCCAGACATTAAGCTGGCTGGCAGTGGGACATGACTAAAATACAGGCCTAAAAAGGCTGATTAAGAGACAACTATTCATTGAGGACCTACTCTGTGCCAATAGGCTTTTACCTTTCAGGTGTTTACAGACTAGTTGTAAGTAAAGACTGGAGGGTGACAGGATGGGGGCTAGGGAGGGGTAGAGAAGTACACAGTCACATAAAACAATCTGCAAACACAAACGCTAGGTCTACCAGTTCCATAAGTCAGCTCATAACTGAAAACAGACTAAGCTGGACGTGTATGGATGAGGAAAAGAAAATTAGAGAAAGCATCCAGGATTCTCGTGTTGTGATCAAGCATAAAATAGCAATAAAGCCAAAGGCAGAAATTTAACCCTGGGTGCTAAAACCCAGGCCCACAATAGAGTCACATCTATTTAGTTTCTTCAAGATCAGCCAGTCTGAGGAAGTAGAAGTCTCTCTGTACTGTCTGGAAACATTTGCCTTGTTTAGAGTCAGCCTGCACAGCCAGAGCCAAGCCCTCCTAAGCTTAACAGGATTTCTCTGTCTCATCATATTAAAAATAAATGGACTGCACTTGGCCCTGCCAGTCAGTTCTTCCAAAGTAGAACATTTGCATAGTCTTAAAGCTCACAGTTCATGGTGAGGAGCTGTGAACTCCATAGAAAAACTGAATAGTTAGCAGAGCGTTTCCATCCCAACTTCCAATTGATTCAAATTTGCCCAGTTAGTAGACTTGAGGTTAACGGATTACACTTGGACAAAAAGTATTTGTGTTTTCACTTCATAACATAGGTTCCAAAGGGTGTGTTCAGATGATGATTGGCTCTTTAAAATCCATAATTACTACCAGGGAGAAAACAAAAATGCCTCGCCTACCAGGTATTGGTGTAGACTTGATACACTTACTACATACTTGATACATGCTTAGTTAGACATGATTGGATTTGTCTTTAAAGAAGCGCTGGCTGTCTATGACATAGGTTTGCATTATGCCTAGTTTACTGTTGACAATCATGATGGCGGAAGTAATAGCAGTAGTGCCATTACTTGTAATAGCAGCAGTGGCAACAGCAGGAACACCACCTACCAAGCAATTTGAATATTCTAAGCATTATGTTTGATGCTTTATGTGCATTATCTCATTTAATCTGCTCATCAGCTTCATGAGCTGTGTACTGCTTGCATCCACATTTTAAATAAGAAAAGGTATGTGAGAGACAAGTAACTTAGCTTAGAGAAGTGAAAAACCTTGTTAACTAACCCGGCTGGGCAGAGCCTGGAGTCACAACACAGCAGATCGCCTCCTTGTGCACATATAAGAGCTACACCGTTACCGCCAGATTAACGTTAACTAATCCTTCTGGAGCACTTAGTGCTAGGCACTTCTCTAAGCACTTTCTAGGTGTTCCTTTATTTATCTTGACTGCAACTTTGTGACGTAGGTGTTGCTACTGTCCCCACTTTACAGATAAAAACCAAGGCCCAGGGTCCTACAACTAGCTAGTATGTGGTGGAGCCAGGATTTAAAGGCAGTCCACAGTTTCAATGCTTTTAAAATTAAGAGCGTCATTTTTCAAACTGGTTCTTCCACTCTAAAGCATAGGAAGAAAACCAAGTGCAACATAGTCATTCATACACTTGACCCAGGTTTCCTTTTACCTTACAACTATGCTGCCTCCATAGGCTTCTAGGCTTGAAGAATGAACTGATTGTAAGAAAGGGGAATATTATTCCTCCTATGTGAAAAAAATTATGTAAACAAAGTAGCCTACTGGAAACTATATAGCCTTCTGACTTTATTATTTTTTTTAGACAGGGACTTGCTCTGTTGCCCAAGCTGGAGTGCAGTGGTGTAAGCATGGCTCACTGCAGCCTCGACCTCTTGGTCTTAGGAGATCCTCCTGCCTCAGCTTCCCAGTAGCTGGGACCACAGATGTGCACTATCATGCTCAGCTACTTTTTTTTTTTTTTTTTTTTAATTTTCTATAGAGACAGGATCTTGCTGGCCAGGCACAGTGGCTCAGCCCTGTAATCCCAGCACTTTGGGAGGCCAAGGCAGGCAGATCGCCTGAGGTCAGGAGTTTGAGACCAGCCTGGCCAACATGGTGAAACCCCCTCTACTAAAAATTAAAAAATTAGCCAGGTGTGGTGGCACACATCTGTAACCTCAGCTACTTGGGAGGGTGGGGCATGAGAATCACTTGAACCCAGGAGGCAGGGGTTGCAGTGAGCCAAGATTATGCCACTGCACTCCAGCCTGCGCAATGGAGTGAGAGTCTGTCTCAAAAAAAAAAAAAAAAAAAAAGAGAGAGAGAGAGAGAAAGAGAGAGAGGGTCTTGCCATGTTGCCCAGGCGGGTCTTTGAACTCTTGAGTTCAAGAGATCCTCCTGCCTCAACCTCCCAAAGTGCTGGGATTACAGGCGTAAACCACTGCTCCTAGCCAAGTCTCTTACTTTAAATGACCATTACTTACCTTTTAACAATTTAACTTAGTGCATCAAAGAACTGATATCTACTCAATGTCACAACTGATTCCATAATAAAACAATTACTCAAAGTGGTTCTTCTGCTTCTAAGATAGCTATGTTCCCCGCACTAGTAGTAATATATATTTTGTGTAGCACAAACCCATCTTCCACAGAAACAAAGCCTTTAACGGACATTAATGACATTTATAATAAATGTATACTTTTTTGTTAGATCAGCTTAGTAATTCATTAATAACTTTCATTGCCACAAAGCACTACAGTGATTCAGGACACAGTAGTTTCTTTGAAACCTATCCAAAACCCAAAAAACCCTGGAAGCTAACAGAATGCTCAGGAAACAGATATATATATAGAGATAGAGATAGATAGATAGATAGATATAGAGATATATATCAAAGGGATATATAAGAAAGTTACCATCTAGATTTTGAGGATGTTTAAGCATACCTGAATTTAGGACTGGATTTACGCTTATATCAGCTTCTCTCTTTATTGGGATCTGTATACAAGGAATAAAAACATAGAAGAAACAGATATTCCAATGCGTTTAAAATGAAAAGAAAGTGATCATTCTACATTAACTTCATCAATGTCACTAAATTTTTTACACTGATTTCTTTATCAATTCTGTGGCCAGGAAGTTGGTGTATTTGTGGTTGCATGGACCTTTGTATTATAATTGACATCCACATCTATACATTATAATGACAGAAGTTTTCATTTCCAAGCTATTCAATTAACTGTTTTCCTCTGACTGCCAAAATCCCTCACAGTGGAATGCTGTCCACCCAATCCACTTCCGCGTCTGGGAAAGCATGTTTTCCTATGTAGGAGTGATAGCCCTTTCCCTCTTGGTTTTGTATGTCACCTAGGCATCAACTCTAGCTCCTAATGTCTTAAATAGTTAATAGACAAGGATACCGATTAGAAGCTATATTGAGGAGTGGCTGGGTGCACCGTCTCACACCTGTAATCCCAGCATTTTAGGAGACCAAGATGGATGGATCACTGAAGGTTAGTTTGAGACTAGTGTGGCCAACATGGTGAAACCCCATCTTGACTAAAAATACAAAAATTAGCCGGGCATGTTGACATGCACCGGTAATCCTAGGTACTAGGGAGGCTGAGGCAGGAGAATCGCTTGAACCTGGGAGGCGGAAGTTGCAGTGAGCTGAGATCACACCACGGCACTCCAGCCTGGGCAATGCAGTGAGACTTCATCTCAAAGAAAAGAAAAGAAATAAGAAAAAGAAGGCATACTGAGGAGAAAAAAATGCTAGGATATATTAGATTAAGGTTTGGATTCAGTGGAAAGGTCTTAATCCATAAATCTTTGATTTTACATTTTCTTCTTGGGGGAAAGGGGAAGGAGATAATTGGTAAGCAGTTCAGACACTTGTAATATCAGAGTCTGAGGAACAGAGCCTGGAAAGGAGACTGCAGCCCATACCTACAGGAGGACAGGGCGAGGAGTAAGGCAGATTTTCTTAGCTTAATATTGTTTAACACCTGCTCTGTGTCTAACATTGTGTAAGGCACATTGCAGTATAGATAATCTAACTTAGATCCCTCCCTGTCTCACAGTTTTGCCTATATCTAGGAGAAAGGACACACACATATGAGGAACTTTCAGTAACCCATGAAAGAATTGCTGGAAAATGCAGGGTTATGAAATGTTGCCATTTCAATGGCAAAAACTGCAATTACTTTTGCACCAACCTTATAGAGTACGTATTTCAAAGCTGTATGAGCTGGGAACATGTGTGATGAGCCGAGCTTGCTCTAGAAGGGCAGCAAGAATTAGGTGTAATCAGGATGAGTGTGTAGATCTGCCTGACTGGAGTGGAGTATTAACATGGAAAAGAGAGACTCTGAAGAACAGAGAGCAGGTTTTGGCTTTCTGTCATAACCAATGTGGAGCCTCAGAATGTATGTGAAAAAAAAGCAGTGACCTATAAACAATGTTTTTCTGCCACAGTCATTTAGTTAGGGTTATGTGAATCAGATGTTCCCTGCTTCAGTCTTTTTTCTGAACGCAGATGAAATTTTTATCCTTAGATAGGACTTCTTCTCTGTGTGCTCCTGTGACCAACTACATGTTTTTAAAAAATGCTTATTGAGAAGGAGAAATCTGGTCCAAAAAGAGAAGGCTGTTCTGATTATTAAAGAAAAAGCTTGTTCACTTTTTCTCTAACTCCACAGTTTTAAGGTCTAATTGTAAGACCCGTTCTTGCCATTTCATTACAATCTGAGGCATGGAATGCTCAGCGAAACTTGAAAAATACATAAGCACTTTGAATTTTGTGGCTCATGGTTCTCCTTGCTTTCTTTCATTCGAGCTGCTAATTGGCTGAAGGCTACTTTGCTACCGTGGGAGCCTCTGTCTTTCCAGCCCTTTTAAACTCAGTTACAAATAGCTTTATAAAAATTTAAACCCCAAATTCCAAACCTTGCTCCCTCCTTAAGTAGGCAAAGTCAACTGCACTGATTATTACTTTTTCATCAGCACAGAGAATCATTTCCCTCATGTAGCTGGACAATTATGGTGAGAGGACAACTAAGCATCCTTTTCGCATTGTGGATTTTTCTTAATTTCCTTAGAATACGTTTCTGTCATTTTACTGAAAGAAGACCAAGGTCCAGATGAGGCATTTTCATTGGCTGCGCGTTCTTAGCCTACAGTATAATGAACCATAATGAGTTAATTTATCTCTCCTCTTATACCATGTCTTTTGGTGTCGACAAAACTGAAAATTCACTTTCCCTCACCAAGTTGGGGCATTGGGATAATTGATTGTTACCAGTCTCTGCTGTTAGTAGACAGGATAACACCAGTGCCTCTAGAGAACAGGTGAAAACTAAACTCTGTCCCCCGAGGCCAATGAAATAGCTGTTTGGTCCCTTGTGTGAAACTTCGTAATAACTTAACTGGGCAGCCTCTGGGTCCCTGGAGGGTTTCTCCACAAGAGTATTCCCTCTCTTTGTTAAGATTGCTTATTAAAAATGATTTTATAATGAAGTTGCCTCAAATAGCAGCCCTTTTCCTGGTTGTCCTTGAAGCTGTGGTGAAGAATCTTAGAGACAACTGTCTAGGGTTTTCCTCCTTGTTAAAAACTTCTCTCTTACCACTCTTGCTCTTGATTTTTAAGGAGACAAAGTCTAACTGACACAAGTCCCTCTCCGGCTGATTATGTCGCTTAAAACACTGTGCAAGGCATTATTGGTAGTTCAGCTTGTCATTCGGGCTCAGGAATCGAACTGATCTACATGGAGTGAGGACAGTTAAGTCTGCCTCGGAAACAAGGCTGTCAGGCTTCCCCCCGAGAGCAGTAGCGATGGAACACTGTCGCAAACTCTGCCCCTGACTCTAGTCAAACAATGATTGCCAATTATTTTATCTCTTAGGTCCTAGATTTCTTTTGTCTGTAAACTAACCACTTTCCTGCCACAAGAGACTGTCTTGACGAGGAATTAAATAATAAAAATAGAAATAAATAGAATCATACTCTTTGGGCCGGGTGCAGTGGCTCACGCCTATAAACCCAGCACTTTGGGAGGCTGAGGCAGGAAGAGCACTTGAACCACAGAGTTCAGAACCAGCGTGGGCACATGGCGAAACTGCATCTCTACAAAAAAAGAAAAAGAAAATTACCTGGGTATGGTGGTGCATGCCTGTAATCCCAGCTACTCAGGAGGCTGACGTGGGAAGATTGCGTGTGCCCAGGAGTTTAAAGCTGCCATGAGCTGTGATCGCACCACTGCACTCCAGCCTGGGCAACAGAGTGAGACCCTGTCTCAAAAACAAAAACAAAAAGAGACAAAAAACGAACTGTACTCTCTGCTACCCATGGCCTGTATAAATTCAAAAACTTCTGGTAAATATAGACAGTTAAGAGAAAAATCAGTTTTTTTTGTTTCCACGCCGTAACCTTAACCTCTTGGCTTGCAAGGGCTTAGGTATGGTGATGTATTTAACATAAAACGTGATAAAGCGCATGGCGGGGAGGCTCCCGTCAGAAATCCCTGCCTCCGATTTGGTTTCTCAGTGGCCAGGCATTCTCAACAAGCAACACAGGAAACAACAAATCATATCAAGTTGTTAGTGACAGATTCCGCTTGAAATATTTTTCTAACTTTAAGGTTTGTCAGGCAGTAAATCTACAGAGCAGAGAACTCAAGGTGTGGCTTGGCGCTCCTTTTGCTTTGCAGTGCGAATATAACAGAACACCAACAGTAAGAGGGACCATTATGTATCTTTGAGGGCAGAGAGCCGTCTTGTCTAGTTGTACCAAGCGTCATTGTGTGCTAAGATCGTGATTAAAAATGTTTTGGCTAAATTCTGTTCTCTGAGATGAGATATATTAGAAAACCCCAACCTTACACTCAGTAATTCCTGCTCCCCAGCCAATAAAAAAAGAATAGGAAGGAAAAAGAAAAACTGTGGCCTTCTCTAGAATTCCATTGCTAGCAGAATCTTATTCTACCTCCTTAAGAGCAAGGTGGGATCTTCTTATTCAACCGCCTCTAAGGTTTTCTATCGCCTGAGGAGTCTAAATTCTAAGTATGGCATTCAAGGCCTTTTACCACCTGGTCTTCATCTTTCCGCTGGTGTTTTCGTGACCTCTCCTCCCTTGCAGGCAGTTTCTGCCATCCTCGATGGTCTGTTCCTAGGAGACCCCATGCAGGGGCATACCTTGGTGCCTTTCTGTCTTGTTTGTCCTGGAATGTCCTTCGTCATCTTCTGCACCTGTAAAGTCTTATGGCCCCATCAAAGGCCAACACGAGTAGCATCTGCCATCCAAAGCCTTCTCCGATTCCACCTTGTTAATTGCTGCAGCTCCTCTGCTCCCACAGTACATTGTTAGGATGATGGTAGAAAAATGTATTGCAGAATAGTTGATGTTTATAGAGCTTTGTCTACTAGGTATCCTTTAATTTCTTTAGCCGGCTGTGGTGGCTCACATCTGTAGCCCCAACACTTTTGGGAGGCTGAGAAGGGAGGATTGCTGAGACTGGGAGTTCAAGAACACCCTGGGCAACATAGGGAGACCGGTATCTACAAAAAAATGTTTGTAAAATAGCCGTGGATGCTGGCACGTGCCTATAGTTCCAGCTACTTGGGAGACTGAGGCAGGAGGATTGCTTGAACCTGGGGAAGTCAAGGCTACAGTTAGCAGAGAGTGCACCAGTCCACTCTAGCCTAGACTACAGAGCAAGACCCTGTTTCAAAATATATATATATATATATATCTTTGTGTCCCTTGGGCTTAACAGAGTGGTCAGTATCTACTATGTGTTCAATTAATATCTGTAGATTTTAAATACGTGTGTCTCTATATGTGTGTATACATACGCAATTTTATGACCAGACACTCTTGTCACACATTTTAGTTTGGCCAAAAATAATGATCTTCTCATTGTTAACAGCTGTAAGAAAGAATAGGCCGGGTGCGGTGGCTCACACCTATAACCCCAGCACTTGGGGAGCCCAAGGCGGACAGATCACCTGAGGTCAGGAGTTCAAGACCAGCCTGGCCAACAGGGCCAAACCCCGTCTTTACTAAAAATACAAGAATTAGCCAGACATGGTGGTGTGCGCCTG